CCTGTGTTTAACTGTTATTGCAATAAAGTTCTTTTCATCTTCTCCAGCGTCTCTTGCATTTGGGATCTTCTCCCATTCCCCCACCTACGCCTTCTAATGTTCCGATATCCCATCATCCCCGTGTCGCCACTGCAAGAGAGGCCAGTGGAAACAAGATGGAGAAGGAAAATAAATGAGATGAGACGTGCATTAACTGATAAAGTTACCGTAACATACCACTAGCATCATTTCCATTGGGTTCATGGATTTTAAGGCAGAAGGGACCTTTAGATCGTTAGTCTGACCTCCAACTCAAAAAGAAAGTCAGTCACTTGGTTAAGTTAAAAGAAAAGGAGTACTTGTGGCACCTTAGAGACTAACCAATTTATTTGAGCATGGTTAAGTTAATGTCTGTAAAGCATTTTAAAGTAAAACAATATCTGGGTGCTGGTTTTCAGTATCAATAAAGTAAAGAGCACACTAGAGGCGCCCAGAATGAGCCTCTTTACACCATCCCGGGTGTTTTGTTTCTGGTGAGTTTATTAAATTGAGTTTATTGACTGGCTCCATATTTATCAAACTGGGAGGGATAGCTCAGTGGTTTGAGCATTGACCTGCTAAACCCAGGGTTGTGAGTTCAATCCTTGAGGAGGCCATTTGAGATCTGGGGCAAAAATTGGGGATTGGTCCTGCTTTGAGCAGGGGGTTGGACTAGATGACCTCCTGAGGTCCCTTCGAACCCTGATATTCTATGATCAGGCTAAACCTGTATGAATCAAACATTGGTATCCAAAATAATTTGACAGGTCTGCTGTGTTTTTGCAGGCGAATGTAGACTACTAATACTTTGAAAAAATCCACCTTTCGTTACTTTTCAATCTTTTTGGAGACAGCAAGTCCATGTGGGACAACTGGAGTAACTGCTTTCACCCTAAAGGTGTAAACCTGAACAAACAGGATTGTACTTAAAATACAAAGAAGGGGAGAGTGAGAAGGGAGAAGTCTTGGTGAGTCACTCGGCGTGTAAGATAGGAAAAGATACAGTGGGGTCTGTTTTCTAGACTAAATCCAATTTTGAAATTCATACAGAAAGCTGGTAGAGCACGAATTACTGCATCTAACCACACATCATCTGCTACTCCTGGGGGAATTCTATGCCAAAAAATTAAAAATTCTGCAAAATTCTGCATATTTTATTTGTCAAAATAATGCAATATAATCACACCAGTTTCACTTATTTTGGTAATTTATTTAAACTACCATACAGAAAAAAAAATCACAATAACTGATCAGTATTTCCTAAACACATGAAAGTTAAGTTACAAATACTTGGTAACCAAAATACTTTGCATTTCAGTTATAATCCTGGATTTTCATTTAAATTACATTACAGAACACCAAAATAAAAGTAAAGTAGAATGTTGCTTTAAATTGCTCAGACTTTCACACATGAAAGTCATACAGTTTTGCTAATCATTGTCCTGCATTTTTTTTAAATGGGTAAGTAAAATAGATCCTGAATTATAATCTAACCCCAATGTGCCTCTCTGGCACAGGAAAAAAACATGAAAGTGGCACATAGCTCAGCACTTTTTGAAACCTGTGCTCCTTTGAAGTGTCTCAGGTTGGGCCACCCAAAGACTGAAGCACCCAAAATTACTACTCTGTCCCTGTCCCTGAAATCTAATAATTGTGGCATGCCAAGTGAAGGTAGCAAAAAGCAGGGAGGGAAAAGGGCAAGGAAGGATGAAATTAGAACAAGAAGATCACCTAGATATTCAGTTTAGGACTGTGTGTGTCTGGATGGTATGGTTGAGCTGTGTGCTTTTGTTCTTTTTGTAATTATTAATACTGACTATTGCCTCACTGCTTGCCAGTAATGCATAAGAGGTGAGCCTAAAAAAGGATTTGAATGAAGAGCGAATATTAATTTAGGAGCCTGTCAGTCATGTCATCATAAAGAATGCAAGAGGATTAATAGGAGGGAACATGAAGGAGTGGAAAGGGGAAATAAATAAGAGAGATCCAGATAGGACCAAGGAGCCTTTGAGAAGAATGAGGATGCAGAAGAGTTCATGACACAGATACTTCAGTCTCCACAAGTGCAGTAGATTTTCAGAGAGACCCGAATAAAGAGAAGGACAAAAAGGCAAGGAGATGATGTGGATAAGTTTCATAGCTCTGGCTGCGTGTTTCCTGCTTGTGCCGTATCTGAAGCTGCATTGGGCAGCTTAGACGGCTTGCCCCTGGTCCGACCCCCAGCCCTCATCGTAGGGAACACGTGGCAGCTGGGCTTCAGATTTCAGCATGAGACTCTTATTGAGGTATTTATTTGTATATAATCATTTAACAGAGCTCTTTTTCCAGTCAATTAATAGGATTTAATGACCAGCCTCACCTAGTCTCCTGACTTGCTTAGTTGTTGGGTCCTAGAGAAACCCACTTCTTGTATTTCCAAAAACCTGTATGGGGCTTATCAAAAGCGTCTACTAAGTAACAGAATTCAGAGTAGCAGCCATGTTAGTCTGTGTCCGCAAAAAGAAAAGGAGTACGTAGCTCACGAAAGCTTATACTCAGATCTAAGTTTGTTAGTCTCGAAGGTGCCACAAGTCCTCCTTTTCTTTTTAAGTAACAGAAGTTTTGGGCCGGGGAGGGGAAGCACAGCACGAGGGTGGGAGACACTCTGGGCTGCGGTCAGCCTGTGGCTTCTCCAACCGAGTGGCATGCACTGGGCTGTGGCCAGCTCGGGGCTCTTCCAGCCAAGGGCGGGGAGCGCTCAGGCTTTCAGCCAGCCCAGGGCTCCTGTGGCGGGGAGAGGGAGAACTTGTGGCTCTGGTTGTGGGGGCAGGGTGTCTTGGGGCTCTGGCTGTGGGGAGGGTGTGGCAGAAGGGGTGGAGCCAGGGACTAGCCTCCCCAAAGGGGGGATTCTCCTGCCGTCCAATTAGGTTAAGATAGGTTTTCTGTTTTATACAGATGTGAACACCTAATTCTCTTGCCAATTTTCTCTCTCCAGCTGGCAAAGATTTATGGAAACATCTACACTTTGTGGCTGGGACAGACCCTCGTGGTGGATTCCAAGCTGTCAAAGATGGTCTTATCTCCCATTCAGAAGAGTTGGTCAGCCTGGGACCCCCAACTTAAAAAGTCTTACTGGTGAAAAGGGTTATTTCTTTCTTTGCACCAAAATAATGTAAGAATGTTAAAGTGACACTTGAAAGTTCTTTCCCAGTATTTCTTCCCCATGTTGTGTTGTGGGCTTATACGTGGCAGGGCTCAGGGGCTTCCTGGAGAATTGGTTTATTTGTTTGTTTAATCAATGTTTTTCTCCCGCCACCTATTCCTACACCTGCTAGAGCCCTCTCCCCGCCAAGCGCTTACAGAAATAACTGTTAGATTTTGCCAAGGAACTTTCTTGTCCCTCTCTAACCAGTTATCACAGTATCCTCCCATGTTTGGGAAAGATTATAGAGAAGGATGTGGGGAGATGTCGCGAGCGGTACTTTTGTCCTGAGGTCTTTAACCCCAGTTAGTTTGGTTTCAGACCAGTGTGTGGGAATAGTGTGCTGGGAATGTTGTTTGAGGGAGGATAATAGGCTGTCCAATGTTAATTCTTTTAGAGCTAGCAGCTGCTTTTGATGTGACTGTGAGGTGTTGAAATGCCTTGGGGGACACCGGTCTAATGCAGAATGCACTTCTACCCATGGCTGTACTGTTATATTCTATGACTATCAATGCACTTTTATCTATAGGTGCTGACATAATTTGTCATTTATTGTAGTTATTTCCTTCCACCTGTAAACATCACCACCGTTTTTCAAGATGGGATTCTTGAACCAAGGCCACTAACCAATATTCAGACACCTACATAAATGGTCTGATTTTCAAAGGTGTTGAGTGCCTGTATGAAGTCACCGAAGCTACTGACACTCTGTTGCTTCAACAATCAGTTGTCTCATTTATGTGCCTACTGTGGATTTATGGGCTAGGAGTAAAATTTTCAAAATCACATAAAGTCCCCTTTTCTAAAGCGACTTAGTGTCTGTCGATATTGAAAACCCCCCCAACAACCCAAACCCAAACAAAAACCAACCTGGCAGCAGCAAGTCAGAGCCTGGGTCAATTGACGCAGGCTCATGTTTCAGGACTAAAACGAGCAGTACCGATGTTTCCACTTATAATGGTGTTAAATATATTTAAAAGTGTTTTTAATTTATGGGGGGGTGTCGCACTCAGAGTAGCTGGTCCCTGCACTGGTTGGTGTTCTGGGCTCGCACGTAGGCTCCCCTTTGAGCAATGGGGCCATCGCCTTCTTCGAGCGTTTGCAGTGCCGGCCGAGCCGCTCGACAGCAGCTTCATCAGCCGAACGAAGGGCCCGAAGGTAGGGTGACCCGATGTCCTGGTTTTATAGGGACAGTCCCGCTAGGTGGGGATTTTTCTCATAGTGGCACTGATTGCCCCCTGCCCTACCCTGGTTTTTCACATTTGCCGGCTGGCCACCCTCCCTGAAGGCCACGGTGAAGGCTGGGAAGTCCGCAGCAGCGCCCGCCCTGGACCCATGGAGGCTGCATTGACAAGCCGCTCCTCGGGCGGCCCCTGCACGTAGAGGTCGGCTGCCTGTATTGCTTGGCCAATCTGGAATCTGTCCCGCAGGGTCCAAAGGTGACAGGCCCCTGGGCTGACTCTCCCCCAAACTCCCCAAGGCCCAGGCTGTAGGACCCCCCCCTCCCCCACTCCCTCTTCCCCCGCACAAGGGCTCCCTGCAGGTGGAGCTGGACACGTTTCACAAGAGGCAGCTGCAGAGGGCCTGGACCTCAGCCCCGCCCCCCGTACCCCACGTGACGGAAGGGGGTGGAGCGAGCGAGCCCCCTGGCAATGCATGCTGGGGGCTGTAGTCTTTCTGCCCCGCAGCGCATGCTGGGATCGGTAGTCAGCCGGCTCCCTCTTGGGGTGCTAGGATCAGGAGTCGCCCGCCTCGAGGGTTATAATTGGTCGTACGCTGTCACGTGCTCCGATCCTGGCTCCTGGTTGGCTGGTGGTCCAGTCGGCTGTCTCCGGCCCGGGGAGAGCGGGCGGAATGGAGCCCGGGTAACGGGTCGGCAGCGGGTGGGTCCCGGGATGGCAGCTGAGAGCCCGGGGCGGGAATCCTGAAGGGAGGGGATGTGAATGGTTTGCGGGGGCAGGTGTCCCGGGGGCAGGTGCCTGGGAGCGGATGTGGGGGTCGCGGGGGCAGGTGTCCGGGAGCAGGTGTCCGGGAGTGTGGGAGGGGTCAGGGGGCAGGTGTCCGGGAGCGACTGTGGGGGGGGGAGGGGTCGCGGGGGCAGGTGCCCGGGAGTGTGGGAGGGTCAGGGGGGCAGGTGCCTGGGAGCGGCTGTGGGGGTCCCGGGGGCAGGTGTCCGGGAGTGTGGGAGGGGTCAGGGGGGCAGGTGTCCGGGAGCAGGTGGGGGGGGGGTCCCGGGGGCAGGTGTCCGGGAGTGTGGGAGGGTCAGGGGGGCAGGTGCCTGGGAGCGGCTGTGGGGGTTGCGGGGGCAGGTGTCCGGGAGCGGGTGGGGGGGGAGGGGTCGCGGGGGCAGGTGTCTGGGAGCGGCTGTGGGGTCGTGGGGGCAGGTGTCCGGGAGTGTGGGAGGCGTCAGGGGGCCAGGTGCCTGGGAGCGGCTGTGGGGGTCGCGGGGGCAGGTGTCCGGGAGCGGCTGTGGGCGGGGGGAGGTGTCCGGGAGTGGCTGGGGGGGGGGGTCCTGGGGGCAGGTGTCCGGGAGCGGCTGTGGGGGGGGGGTCCCGGGGGCAGGTGTCCGGGAGCGGCTGTGGGGGGGGGTCCCGGGGGCAGGTGTCCGGGAGTGTGGGAGGGTCAGGGGGGCAGGTGCCTGGGAGCGGCTGTGGGGGTTGCGGGGGCAGGTGTCCGGGAGCGGGTGGGGGGGGAGGGGTCCCGGGGGCAGGTGTCCGGAAGCGACTGTGGGGGGGGGAGGGGTCGCGGGGGCAGGTGTCCGGAAGCGACTGTGGGGGGGGAAGGGGTCGCGGGGGCAGGTGTCTGGGAGCGGCTGTGGGGTCGTGGGGGCAGGTGTCCGGGAGTGTGGGAGGGGTCAGGGGGGCAGGTGCCTGGGAGCGGCTGTGGGGGTCGCGGGGGCAGGTGTCCGGGAGCGGCTGTGGGCGGGGGGAGGGGTTGCGGGGGCAGGTGTCCGGGAGCGGCTGTGGGGGGGAGTGGCTGTGTGGAAGAGGGAGGGATTTGGGGAGGGGTCTAGGCAAGTACTGGGGGGTGAAGAATCTGGGTGGGAGGGACAGAGGGAGGGTTCTGAGAGGGCGGGGGGAGGGGGGAAAGGATCTGGGAGGGCAGGGGTCTGGGAGGGCAGTTGTGAGGGACACTGAGTAAGAAAAAACTAGGCCGGCAGGTCTCTGGGGAATGTGTGTGGATGGACTGGTCTGAGGGGGGATTGTGAAGGTTGGGGCTGGGTTGGCATGTTTGTTGGGGAAGGGTCTTGGAAGTTTTAGGAGAAAAACTCTGGGGAGGCGTCTGGCCAGGGATGTGTAGAGAGGAGGATTAACAGGACATGACTGAGAGGGGAGTGGGTATTGCTCCAAATACTTTGTGAGATCATATCCTGAGCAGTAGCACGTGTCTACTCACATTGAGGTTTATTTCGATTTCATACTTCTCTCTGTCTGGCCTGTCATTTAATGGTGAGATTACTTATAAGAGAAGAAGGTGTCAGGCTGCACTGGGATAACTTACTCCTGGGGGAATTTTGCGCCACTGTGCGTGCGCAGAATTCATGTAGTCTCCCCCCAGATTTCTTTGCTTCCCTGCAGAAAAATTACTTTCTGATAGGGAAGCAAAGGGAAGCTCCAAGAGCACACCACTCCCCAGCTGCACAGGTACATGGTTTCAGGCACCCGGGGCAGCCAGTGGAGAGGTAAATCACCGCAGGGCTGGGGACACCCCAACCAGTGGCTCCTACCCTGAGTTGGGATCAGCTGCTAGTCCCAGCTGTGCTGGAGGCAGGAGAGGGTGGAATTTCCTCTTCTCCTGCAAGGAGTGGCTGGGGCTGTGTCAGACCCACCCCCAGAAAGCTCAGCATCCTCCCCTGCTTCCAGCCTCCATCGTTCCTCAGCTGCTGGAGGAGAGGTCACTGTATGGGGAGCTGCTCCCCCATCCTCCCAACCCCAGACACCCATACCCGGGACCTCCCATACTCAGACACCCCTGCCAAGCCTCACCCTGTACACACAGAACCTCCATACCTGAACCACACCCCACTGAACCTCAACCCCTGCACTCGGATTCCCCTGCACTCGGATCTGCTGCCTCTGGACCCCCACCACTCCACCCAGACCAACCCCACTGAGCTCCCTGCACTCAAACCCCCACCTTGATGAGCCCCCACGCCACTGACTCCCAACTAGCTGCACCCAGACCAAGCCCCGCTCCCCCAGCACTCAGATCCCCCTGCTGAGACCCCCATATCCAGACCCCTCCACTAAGGCCCAACCACTTTCACCTGGAAGCCCTTGCAGAGTCCCATTGCCCCTACACCCCACCCCATGAGCCTCTGTGCATCCAGATCCCCCCACACCTAGATCATCCACTGAGCCTCTCCACACTTGGATCCTGCCTTGTTGGGCCTGCCTGCCCCACACCTGGGCACCTGGCACAGAGGGGAAGGGCCCCAGGGTGTTTCTGGGGTAGGCCCAGGCCTTGTGCTCTGTCAGGGTCAGGTGCAGCCTCACCACTGAGTCCATGTCCCGAGGGTGGGGAGGCTGTAGGGTGATCTCCCACCTTTATACAGCCACTGGCCTGTGCTCCTCACTGCCATGCTGGAGCTTCTGCATTTATTTATTGACAAATACATTTTGCAGAATTTTAAAATGTTGTGCACAGAATTTTTAATTTTTTGGGGCAGAATGCCCTCAGGAGTAATAACCACTCAGACAGTTTGATGTGTTCTTTTTTTGCAGTATTGGATTCTTCAGGGCCAACAACTGATTTTGAATACAATTTCAGCTAATATGGTTCAAGCGATTAAGTGGAAACGGTTAGTGACTTTTCGCTTATGAGTTTATCAGCCTCACTCACCCACTCCCAAAGTTATGATTCCTGGTTCATTTTAATTTATATTATAGATTTCAGTTAGAGACGTAAAGTCTTGGAGTGGCCGACAGAGCTTCAGTTGTGTTGAAAATGCTGGGAGACAGAGTGCAGTCAGCTACAAAAGAAAATCTTTACAAAGACCCCACATTTCCAGCAGGCGACACCTCCCTCTTTTTTAACTGTTCCACCCCACTCTCACAATTCAGAGGGAAGATTTCCTGGCTGAGACCTCAGGTGAGTTTTGAGATGGGATAGCTTAATGGTTTAGCAAAATTTGACTTTCCATTAACAAGGGGATGACTTAGTGTTCAGTTACTGTTTCTAGTTCTTTGTATGGTTCTGAAATACAAAAATGACAAAAGTAGTGTGCTATGGTTGCTGGGCTAACTGTATCTTTGGCCACTTTGATTGAGAGCCTTTAGTACTCTGTGTATCAAATGTGTTTACCCAGCAAGTCTGACTAAGTTTGACACCTGTGATTCTTCCCTTTAGGAATCTGTCACTAGTGGTCAATGTGATAACTTGATGGCCTTCTAAAAAAACAAAGTATTGTTTAATTTCCCCTTTTTTCTTCCTCTACACTTTATCCCTAGATAATCTGATTTGCAAACACAAATTCAACTCCATCTCTATGCTAAAGACTCACAGGTATACCTCTCTACTCCAGATCCCTGCCCTTCTGTCCAGACTAAGATCTTGGCCTATCTCTCTGAAGTCTCCTTGTGGATGTCTAGCCATCAGTTCAAACTCAACATGGCTAAAACAGAGCTCTTAGTCTTCCCCCCCCATCCCATCCTTTCTCAGTCAGTGTGGACATCACCACCATCCTGCCTGTCACTCAGGACCATAACTTGGGTATCATCTTCAGGTTAGGCCTCTCTGTAGGTCTTCACGTCAAGGCTATGTCTAAATCTTGCCCAATCTTTCTGTACAACATCTCAAACATACGGCCTTTCCTGTCCATCCACACAGCTGAACTCTCATGCAGGCTTTCATCAGCTCACATCTTGATTACAGCAACATCCTTTTCTATGGCCTTGACAAATGCTATCTTGCCCCTCCCGTATCCATTCAGAACACTGCTGCAAAGATTATTCTTCTTGTCTGTCACTTTGACGATGTCACCCTTCTCTTTGAATCCCTCCACTAGCTTCCCCTTCTCTGTCTCATCAAACATAAGTTACTTGTCTTCAGTTTCGAAGGCCTTCATGCCCTATCACCACCCTATCCCCCCACAATAATCTCTCATTCAGTATTGAAAAGTTGATGCCAATCTCCATAGCCCATTTGTTAAATTTTCAAACTAGCACCTTTATGCTTTCTCCTGTGCTTGCCCCCATGCTTGGAAGGAGCACACCATAAATACTGCAAAGCTATCTAATTACTTTTCTTTACTGACAAAAACCTGACAAGCTGCTGGTGTGCTGAGACCACTACCTGTTGTGTCTCATTGTTTCCTTGTATTCCCTTGTCTTCTATATTCATCTGTTGTTTCTTGTATATTTAGATTGTAAGCTCTTTGCAGCAGGGACTACCTTTTTGATCTTTGCTTGTACAGCATCTAACACAATGGGATCCTGATCCATGACGGGGGCTCCTAGACCATATGGTAAAACAAATAACTAATAAGCATATTTCCCAGAGTAAAGTGTGGGGCTCAGCTAGCCAAGGAGAAAAGTAGCAAAGCAGCAGCTCAGGGCTAATTCATTCAGTTTTCTGCCCGCTGTAAAGTTTACAAGAAAAAGTGTTTTGCGGTTTAGATCAATAGCTTGCTTAGCAATGGCAAACTGAGTTTTGCGTGGCCAGACAAGGGTGGGTTTTTTTGTTCTGGGATGTTGAATTCTCTCATAGCTTGTATCTCATGCTGCCCTGCTAATGTACCTCAACCTTGCTTGTGAGTTGTGACCTGCACAACTACTAGGGAGTGGGTTATTTCTCTCTCTGTTCATTCACTTCTTGTCTCTTTGCTGAGATTATCAATAGTAATGTATTATTGATGATGGAATCTATCTACCAAGATCTGGACTGAGATTCACCAGTCTTATTTCACGTAGGTCACCTACTGAATAGTCATACTGTAACAACTCTCAATTAGTGGTAACCTGTACTGTATTCAAACAAGAACGAAAGGTCCCTTATTGTGTTAATTGTCTTGTGAGCCATCCGATCCCACAAAACATAGCTTGTTTGGCTTAGACTATCATACAGGATTTAACCTTAACGTTTGCTTTGTTTTAGGAAATTTGTTCTGCTCCTCAATTGTTTTCAGACAATCCACAGGAGGTGCAAGTGAAGCAAGGGATTTTGGGAGATTGTTGGTTCCTGTGTGCCTGTGTTGCTTTGCAGAAGAGTAAATACCTGCTAACTAAGGTATAGAACAGCTTCTTGTAATGTTTTATGTCCTAGCAGATTTTCCTGTATGCTCCATTAACATTTTTTCCCCCTAGTCTTTTCCAACTCAGTGAAACTTCTAAGATGTACTCTGATGCTCTGTCTTTACTCTTTGATGTTATGACATATTATTTCTATCTATGCTATGATGTAGAATAGCTGGAATTGACCAGGTTTTAAGTGGTGGTTTCCTCAAAAGAAAGTCCCTGTTTGTCTTGATTTTGCTAATATTGTCTTGTCTTCTTCCAGGTAATCCCTCCAGGTCAGCCCAGCTGGACAGATGAGACGTACACAGGCTGTTTCACTTGTCAAGTCTGGCAGTTTGGACATTGGGTGGAGGTAACCATTGATGATCGCCTGCCTTGCCTTGGGGGTAAACTCTGCTTCTCCCAGTGTCAGACAGAAGATGTGTTTTGGCTTCCCTTACTGGAAAAGGTCTATGCCAAGTAAGTGAACTTCATTGGAGGAGGAGATTTAAATTGCAGTAATGACTAGCACATATTCTACATAGTGCTTTGTTTGATTGGATTTCATGCCATGTGGGCTTCCAGAGCCCTCTCTAGGACTTGAGCTCTTTATATCTGAAACCTGTATATAGACTGATAATTTCCAGAGTTTTTCCTATATTGGATTCTGTAGAGGTCCAATGTTTATCCTGGATCACCCAGATACATTTCCGCCTTCACACAGGGTGAGATTTTCTTACTGAAAGGAATTGTGAAAAAAATAAGAGTTTTATAATGACCCAGCAGCTGCTAGACTGCAGTGATGCTCAGCTAGCTACTAGCTGCAGATCACCTAGCTTAGTAAGACTGAAATAAAGTTTTCCCTGGTGCATTATTTGAGAAGATTTTAAGATAGACATCAATGGACAGATCTTCAGCTATTGAAAATCTATGATGCTCCACTGAAATAATGAAGCTACACCAACTTATGTTAGTTGAGGCTCAGGCCCTGAATATTTCTTTCCTGCATACTTCTGTCTAACCATCCCTTGCCACTCATTTGCTGGTTTTATCAGGAGTTATGGACCCTGGAATATTATTATTGTTGTTGTTTTGTTTTATATCTGGCAGTGGGGCCATTGTTTTATAAAATAAGCAGCAAAATACGATCTCAGCCCAGTATACAGTGTAGACCGACAAAGCAGTTCAGAGACCAAATGCTTTGGATAAGAAGGACACCAAACAGTTACAAGATCTTAGAGAAGGGTTTGTTTAGCCCCCAGCAGAGGACAAACACCTTTTAAGGTGAAGTTACTCAGCTAGCAGTAGATATGCTGAAGTTAAGGTACATGTTTCTGTCAAGGCACCTTTGGCACATTAACCTTTTCTTCTTACTGTGGGTTTGCCAGGCAAATGTTATTTTGACCATTTCTTACAGAAATTTTATGAATCTGGCTTAGTATTCTTTCAGTGTATTCATTCACTCTGCTTTGTAGTTACCGCAAATAATAACACAACATCCCTGACCCCACAAAATGAAACAGCTGGGAGAAAAAACTAGTTTGACTGTGTTTAGCAAACAAAGAATATATTAAGGGGAGGTATGTTAGAAATGTTATTTTTTAAACATTACTAGCTATACTGTGCTTCATGAAGGGTGATGAAAGTTTAAAGATGAGATGCAAATGACAAGCAGTGAGCAGTTTCTGTACAGGAAAGGATTGTATCAAGCTTTCCATAAGGCAGTGTGATATCTTATTTTTCTTTCCCTTTTCCCATCTAGTTGGAGTCAGGTAGCCTATCATTGTTTCCAGGTTTGCTGGTCCAACGCTCACTCCATATCTACTTCATCCTCCCGTACACCGTCTATTGGCTGTTTTCTCGGCCATCCTCTTGTTCTCAGCCTGTGAACTCTAGTCCCAAATGTCTCCTGTTAGGGAGCTTATTCCTTCACCCACTTACTTCCCTGGTCCTTCTCGCGTGAACAGAGAGCAACAATACCCATAGTCCAAAGTTGCAAACAATTTCATGTTTATTGGAGTGAACTTCCAGCAAGCATGATTTCAGTTTCCTTCCTTAGTGTCCTCCTTCCCAGCTCTGACACCACAGAGCCTTACACCTGTGTCCCTGTTCCCATTCCTGCCCTTAGCCAAACATGATTCCAATTTCCCTACCCCCATTCCCTGTTCCCATTTCCGCCCCAAACACTCACTCACTTCCTGATTGACTGCAGACTATATAGTAAAACTTGAGTTCTGCTTAGCTATACCTTAACCGATCATTTTCCTGAAATTTAACTAACTAATCCTAACATATTGTAACATGATTATGTAACCAATTATATCCCACCACCTTAATTAGTTTACACCCAGCAAAATTAATTATACAGCAGACAGAAACAATCACAGAACCAGACAGAGATTATACAGACAAACAATAGCAAAGTGGGAACTATAATGACAAAACAATACAGACGTGAGGATTTCACATCCCATCTATTGATAAGTGAGTTCTTGCCAGACAGGATGCTATCAAACTAAGTTTCCTTTTACATTTTCTAGGCACTTCCCTTTCTCTGGAGGTGATAAGCACTATCAGGACAGGATTGTATTCCGAACAGCCCAATAGCACCTTATTTCAATGTGACTAGTTTGGACTCCCTTATCCATCCTTCAAACATGCCCATACCGTCTCAGCTTCCTCTCCTGCAGCTTCTGTCTGATACCACAGACCTTAGTCTCACTCCTGATGTCATCATTCCACGTGTGTTCCAGCAATGTCAGCTCTTTCACTGCCCTCAAACATCTCATTTCAATGGCTTCAGGTCTTCTCAAATGCTTCTCTTCGGTCACCCATTTCTCTGATCTGTAGAGAAGAGCTGATCTTACCAAAGTTTTGTATAGTTGTCTCTTAAGTAGTCATAAATCACACCACCTATCTTTGCCAGTTTTGTCTCGCGCACAGTTCACTGTTGACTACTTTGTTTGCTGCTAACCAGCCACCAAAGTACTTGAATGCAGAAACCTGATTTAGTTGCTGGCCCTCAATGTTAATATTCATCTATTTTGGTCCCGGGTGAATTACCCACATGACTTCAGTCTTTTCTTTAGTCATTTTGGGGCCATAATTTGTTAGTTTCCTGTTCCAGGCATCAATTGCCTGGACCAAATCTTCTGCAGTATCGGCCATGGGTGCAATATGGTCTCCATACATCAACTTTGGACCACCACCTATTTGGATTTTCTTACTTATGAAGTCCATCACAGTTATGAATACTAATAGTTTAAGCACTGATCCCTGGTGGAGCCCAACCTTCACCTCAAAACACTCTGTTACACCGAAGTGTGTCCACTTGTCATGAAACTGTCATACAAACCTGTCACCATCTGGACAAGGTCCTCTGGTACGTCACAGAATCGCAGCAGAGGCACCAGCTGTCACCTAGATACTTTGCTGAATACGTGAGGTGTCTGATGGCCTAAATATTTCATCGCTGCAGTGGCACCTTTTATGTCATACTAACATCAGGCTCCCAACGGGGACATATGTGTGATTAAAATAAAGCCACAATGATGTTCATTTAAGTTTGAAATATGTGCCACTGTTTCTTTTTTGTTTTTATAGGGTGCATGGGTCTTATGAGCAGTTGTGGGCAGGGCAGGTGGCAGATGCTTTAGTTGACTTGACTGGAGGTCTAGCTGAGAGATGGATCCTAAAAGACCCTGGAAGAAGCATGGAAAGAGAGAGGACTGGTAAAGTTTTGGAGAAGATGGTATTTAGGAGACTGATGAACCTGAAGGAACAATGTGTGATAAGTTGCTCAGTCCTCAGCTCCAGGCAAGGTAATATGAGTATTCCAGAGATTCTTAAATATGGCAGGTGTGTCTTTTTCTTCCCATAAAAGGGAAAAAGTAAGGGAAAGTAGTGCTTCAGCACCACTGGTCTATGGATACTCAAAGCTAACTAGCATGTTTCTAGGGATTCTGGTGATCAGCATTTCTCTTCACTCTTCTAATCATAGATGTATAAACCAGGCAGTTATTTGTCTCTGCGTACAGGGTGGGTTGCATGTTCATCCGTTGTGTTCACAGGCAGAGCAGTTGACTTGTAGCAACTTTCTTCAGTACAAAGTGAATCTTCTTCACAGGGGATAGCGAGTTTACTTCCTCTTGCCTTGAAAAAGAATGCTGGGTAGTTTTCTACCTCCTAACTATGGTTATCTTTCCTGTACAGGTGCCAGTGAACTGGGAGAATTTCATGCCTTTATTGTCTCAGATATGCTTCATCTCTCCAGAGTCTCGGGCAACGAAATCATCTTGCTACGGATACGAAACCCTTGGGGGAGGCGGTGTTGGAAAGGACGTTGGAGGGAAGGGTAAGTGGTTTGTTTTCATTTAGAATACTCTCTTTTTAAGGTACTACCATAAAGATGAAGATATTTACTGTGTGTGAGCACAAAATGTGTGTGTGTGTATATTACAGAGTAGTATTCCTAATAGGCTACAACAGAGGAGAGTTGCAGAGTACGGTAGCCTTATTTCTTAGAACCTTTTTATGAGTTCAGCATACAACATTATGGTTCTTGTGGTCTTGATTTTTTGGGGTTTTGGGTCTGGCAATCCTGATTTCCAAATACATGATACATTGATAGGAAATATGTTTTTTGGGGGTGGGGATTTAATTGGATTACAGATTGTTGTAATAAGCCATAAATGCAGTGTCAATTCAGTCCGTGATTTTTGATATCTAGAAAATGTATGAATTTAAGCTCCAGGCTCATCTTTTGAAGGGATTGTGCAGGTTTCCTTTGAGGATGAGGATGGAGAGGTCAGATATAGAGTGATCGCTTTGTGAAAAGTGTTCACCCACAGGTGATATGGGGCTTGTCGTCTTTTATCATATTTCTGTATGAGTTCTTCTGAGAGCATAGTGGTGGTCTTATCTCACCTACGTCAGTGGTTTTCAACCTTTTAAAATTTGCGGAGCCCTACACGTATTTTGAGTGGAGTTGTGAACTCCTTTGGAAAGTCAACCTGTGGTCTGTGGACCCCTCCCATAGACCTCTTAGAAGACTGAAAACTGACTGAACAGAATTCAACCATACATGTTGCACATGCTCAGCATGGCATTTGACACAGCATGAGAAAGGGTGCTAGACAGTGGACTTATATGGTAATGAGAACACTTCCAGGTTTTGATCTGTAGGTGGGGATATTTACATACTTTTGATTGATCAGAAAAACAAAATGCCTTTTCTGGATCTGAAATTTTATTTTCATAAAAAGAAAAGGAGTACTTGTGGCACCTTAGAGACTAACAAATTTATTTGAGCTGTAGCTCACGAAAGCTTATGCTCAAATAAATTTGTTAGTCTCTAAGGTGCCACAAGTCCTCCTTTTCTTTTTGCGAATACAGACTAACACGGCTGCTACTCTGAAACCTTTATTTTCATAGTCACCTTTTGTAGACCCCTTAGACATAGTCCGCAGACCATAGGTTGAAAACCACTGACCTAAATCGTTGTTACCTGTAATCCACTTAACTCCCTGCCCCCAGATTCTTTTTCTTTTTTTTGTGACAGGAAAGGTATGTTATCGGGCCACTTCACTTGAGTGGTCCCTTGAAATATGTATGAACTATTTATGCTAAACAATCTGTTCCATCTCATTCTACCTTGTATTTAAAGATGGTAGTCTGAGTACATTTCCCAGACCTGAAGAAGAGCTCTATGTAAGCTCAAAAGTTTCTCTCCCCCCAACAGAAGTTGGTCCAGTAGAAGATATTTCCTCACCCACCTTGTCTCTAATATCCTGGGACCAACACAGCTACAGCAACACTGCATAGAGAAAAAGACAGGCTAATTTAAAAATTAGTGTTGTGCTGGAAACCGCATAAAACATAAAGGAAGACACACACTCCTTGCCTCAAAGAACTTAAAGCTGTAGTACCCTGTTCTGTGAAGTGCAGAATGTTTTTCAGTCTCAGTAAAATTAATGGGAGTTGAAGGTGCCCAGCAACTAGTAGGACCCTAAATAATTAGTTGTGGCTCACATCTTCAACTTGCAGTAACTTTGAAGCCAACATGCTAAAAAGGTCTTGCCCTACTGCTCTATGGAAATGGTGTGTCGCTGATGTAAGGGGCTCAGTAAGTGGCACCAGAAAAACCTTCCAAAACAGCCATATTTAATTTTATTTGTTTAACCACTTTCTTGTGTTTGGAGTTGTGTTTTTCACTTCCTCTTTCCATCATGCACAAATTCTAACACCTGCTTTTTTTTTAAACGATAAACAAAGGTACAAATACTTTGCACATTGTTCAGTATTCATTGCAAATAAACTATTTGTTTTACCTGGGAGTATGTTCCATAATCCCTTACTCTCTGGTGTAGCTGGTTTCTAGGTCTTCCTGCAAGGAGATTGCCTATCTATAATTTCTGTTTCCAGTCCCAATTGATTAATAGCTAGAGGAAATGTTGTATGGATGAACACAATAGTAAAATGAAAAAATACCGTTTTTCCCTCACGGAAGCAATTTTTGTAGAACTCTATTGGGAGTGTGAGCAAAGAGCCTAGACATTGACTTTTGTGCATTTATTTGCAGTGGTCAAGGGTGGATCCAATTGGATCCAATAGCTGCTTCAGAATTGCTTTCCCAGATCCAGGAAGGAGAATTCTGGGTTGAGGAGGAGGAGTTTTTCAAGGAGTTTGATGAGATTACCATTGGGTTTCCAGTCACTGAAGAGGGACAGCTTCAGAGCCTCTATACAGGTACAATGTGGACAAAGGGACTATTGGTAACAAGTCAGATTAGTTTAATGGGGAAGTCTGATTTGAATTAAAAAGGGCCAAAATTAGACTTGTTTAGCACTAGATCGGGGTGGGCAAACTTTTTGGCCCTAGGGCCACATCGGGTACAGAACTTGTATGGATGGCAGGGTAGGGAAGGCTGGGGGAGGCTATGCCTCCCCAAACAGTGAGGTGTGGCCTGGCCTCTGCCCCCATTCCAGCCCCCCGAGAACTCCCACCCTCATCCGACCCCCCCCTGCTCCCCACCCCTGACTGCCCCCTGGGACTCCTGCATCCTATCCAAACACCCCTGCTCTCTGCCCCCTGACCACCCTCCCCCCCCAGATGCCCGTACCCTATCCAATCCCCACTGCTCCCCACCGCCTGACCACCCCCAGGACCCCCGCCCCTATCCAACTCTCCCTGCCCCACGTTACCTGTGGAGTGGGGGAAAGGGGGCTCAGTCCTTTTCCCTGTGTGTTTCCCCTGCTTGTTTGGCTGCTCTCCCTGGCAGTCGGGCAGGGCTCGCTCCCTGTCTGGGCTTGGCTGCTGGGGACAGGGGCCAAGCATGCTGGAGGTGGAGGGGGGCCCTGGCTTGCTCTGCCCCTGTCCCCAGCAGCGGGCCCAGGCCCCTTGATCCCTGCAACCCTCCTGCTCCTCGCCTCCCCCCCCCCGAACTCCCCCTGACCGTGCCGCCCTGGAGCACCAGGTCTGGCGGCGCTATAGCCGGGCTGCCCGGCCGGAGCTGCAGCCACGCTGCCCAGGTAAGTGTGACTGCAAGGGAGGGAGCCAGGGGAGTAGAAGGGGAGGGGTCAAGGGCTAGCCTCCATCCTGCTCACCACGCTACGGGGGAGTTAGGCTTGCAGAGGAGCCATCCCGTCCTGACCCCACTCCCTGGCAGGAGCTCGGGGGCTACAGGGAAGGGTACTGCAGGCCGGATGTGGCCCGCAGGCCGTAGTTTGTCCCCCTCTACACTAGACCTTTGTGGTTTCCAAAACGTTTTCCAAATTTTATTGAGTATGCCCTGAATGCGTACTCTGGGAGAGGTTGGAGAACAGAACTGGTGTCTACTGGGTAATTAAATTAAACTTCTTATTAACTTTTCTCTTTTTCTACATTTCTCTGATTTACTGGAAAAATCCTCTTCCTTATTTGCCAATAATTTTAAGAGTTGTAAGTGAAAATGCTTATGCAAAGCTTAGGGACTCATGTACTTTGAGGCTGTGGAGATTGCTGCAGAGCTAACCTGCCTGCTATAGAATTATGCTCTGAAATCTCATCATTTAAAAAAATGTTTCTAGCCCTTATAGTTTCAGTGCATACTCCATGCAGCCCAGACATCAGGAGGTTTGGGAGTGATAGCTGGAGTCCAGCTTGCAGGCAGCGAAGGGGTAAAACAGAAGTGTAAGCTGTCAAGCTAGGTTGTCTGGAGAACAGTGCAGTAGCTGAGGCCTGGGGAGATAAGTTGCTCATGCCATCTTCAAACTCTCACCTTCCCTGGCACACATGGGGAGAATCTGGTTCTGAATTGGGTCATCTGAACAGCACCAGAGGAACAGAAACCTGGGGAATGGAGCCAGATATACTTAATCCTGCCTCAGTGTAGGAGGCTGGACTTGATGACTCCTTAAGGTCTCTTCTGCCCTTCATTTCTATGATTCTGTGCTTATTCCAGAGAAAGACCAGTAGGAGGCATTTTGGCCTTGATTTGGCAAAACATGTAAACATATTTGTAAGTAAATTCCTATTCACCAAAGTATTAAATCGTGCTTAAATGTGAAGTAGGTGCTTTGTGGAATACAGATTGTTTGCTACATTAAGTAGTGTAGCAAGTTCTCCTCCTCCTGCTCCTCCACACCCCCAGAGGTGTAGGTGTCGCAGTTACTCCTTCATCCCACCTCAAGATGATCTATGGAGAATTGGAATTCTGACTTACGCTTGCTGTAAAGTTCTTATCAGCCCACGTTTGCAGATGAGATGATCTCTATGTAGGTTATTTTATGGTCCTCGTTTGCTGCAGTATCAGACACAAAATATTTAAAAGCAGAAATACCAGTATTTTACTCTCTTCCTTCCCAACCTGTAGGCCCAGGATCGGCAACCTTTGGCACGCGGCCCATCAGGGAAAGCCGCTGGTGGGCCAGGACGGTTTGTTCACCTGCAGCGATCGCAGGTTCGGCCTGTCGCAGCTCCCACTGGCTGCAGTTCACCGTTCTAGGCCAAATGGGGGCTGTTGGAAGCGGTGTGGGCCAAGGGATGTGCTGGCCGCCACTTCCCGCAGCCCCCATTGGCCTAGAATGGCGAACCGCAGCCAGTGGGAGTTGCGATTGGCCAAACCTGCGGATGCTGCAAGTGAACAAACTGTCCCAGCCCACCAGTGGCTTTCCCTGATGGGCCATATGCCAGAGGTTGCCAATCCCTGCTGTAGGCCTTTCCTGTGTCTGTTGCTGCTGGGAGGAAAGAAGGAGATTTCACAGGAGTTTTTAAACCTTTTTTTTTTTTTTTTCCCCCAGACTAAAGAATTGTTTGCTATGTTTGCCCCCTTGGTGTGGGAGTTAGTCGTTTCCTGAAGACAGTTTTACTGGGGAGCCCTGTAATGTTCTCTTCCAACTGGGAGACAAATTTGAGGTTTCAGATTTGTAGAAATAGTCTGCATATGATCTTTAAGGATAAAGTTCTTCAGCTTCCCACTCTGACTTGGATTTTATACCTCTTGGGATATCTTGGCCGTGAACATTAGCTCATAGAAAGTGGCCCTGCCACAGGACTGCTTTCAGTCTGGAGACTCTTGAGCCACAAAAATGAATTGTTTCCAATTGCTGATGTGTGGTACCTGTTTTTTTTCCTTAGAGAAAGTGCTGAGTCATACTCGGAATCTCTGTGGATCCTGGGTGAAAGGCCAGTCTGCAGGTGGTTGCCGTAACAACAACAGCTTCCCTATGAACCCCAAGTTCTGGCTGAGGATATGTGAGCAGAGTGAGGTGTGCATTGCTCTTCTGCAGAAACCCAGGAAGTACTGTGCTGATTGGGCTGGAAGAACTCAGAATCTGACCCACTTAGCAGAGAAAGGTCCATCTCTGACTGAAGGCATTCAAGGGCAGAATTACCAGGCTGTGGGACTGCATGTCTGGAAGGTAATTGGGGGTAACTTTTCAAACTTCTAGTTGGGCCAAGAAGAAAAGTTTCCAGAAAAACAGGAGCATCTGACATAGTCATTCATTTGTTACTGCAATGCCATGAGTCCATTGTTCATGGAAGTCAGGGGTGTAAAAGACCTTTTAGATGAGACTTCCCATCTCACAGGGTCATTGAAGGATCGTTGCCTATAGTACATATACCAGGGCTTTATTCAGTTTATTTTTAAACATTCTAAGCAATGAAGCTTCCACTACTTCTCTTTGGAGACTGTTCACACAGTCAGTTACATTGCAGTATTAGAAAGATTTGCCTGATAATTTTTCCCTTTCTTAATGTTAACTCCTTTCTCTTAGTTCAACCCCCTTGTACTATCCTAAGAAGTTCCTCTCTCGCTTTGGTGTCTACACCCTTCACATGTTTGTATACTGTTATGTCCCTCCCTTAATTATCACCTCTTATATATGTATTAATCTTTTAAAATCTCTGTTAATCTTTTCTCATAGGTCAGTCCTTTTACCACCCTACTTGTTTTTGTTGCTTTTCTCTGGGTTCTTTCTAGTTTGTTAAACTCTGTCTAATAATGTGTGTACCCAGAATACAACACAATGTGCATAGGAAAAAAACTAATTTCAGAAATGTCTAGTGCAACTGAAAATAATTCTACTCATTTGTAGCTACAATTTTGTGCAACTCTATTTTTGCGTACTCAAGCTATCATCGAGGTGTTCAAAAACTTCAGAAATGTGTGTTTATGCTTGTCGTTGCACAGTGATCAGTGCCCCTGGGTTCATTAATATTATTTCACCTCCAAGTTTAATTTGCACCATGAAAATATCTTCTAACAACTTTTTTCTTTTTAATTACTTTCGTAAACAAGAACATAATTAGTAGTGGATGAAGGCTTATTTTACTGATGCTCAGGCCAAACGCTTTAACTCAAAATATGAACAGTATTTTTCTCCTAATCTCCTTTAATTCCCCACAGATCTCTGTTACACTTGTTGTACCTAAAATATTGTGAAAGAATTAAAATGTTTGCCCTTCGCTGAAAACGTTTAATTTCAGCTGAAATGTGGTAGACAGGTTTTCAGTCTGGGCCTGGTTTGCTCCAGCCTGTTCCTTTTTTTTGTTTTGAAGAGAGCAAATTAAAACAAATTGTTTTCACTTTTTTTGATAACAGTTGCTCACTTTTACAAAATGTGCTCAGAGTCTGGTAGGTGCTGAGCTTTAACCTGCCCTGAGACTACATGAGATTTCCAAAAAAGTGATTGTTTGAAAAAGTAGCTATTGTACATGAGCAATGTTCAGCACCACTGAACTTTGCATGAAAAATGAGAGCTTCCCATGGTTTATAGTCTGACCATGTTGGCTTCTGGGTAAATCTAATCTGAATGAAAACACAACAGTGTATCAGAATTTTGTGTTTCCTTTGGGCAAAATTCTGCCCTGAGGCATGCTGGTTCGGTTCTGCATGGGGCTGGTTTGTAACTGATGCCCCCAAGAGCAATTCTAGCTGGGACAGAATTCTTCCTGGGAACGCCCAGGATAAATATGCCAGAGGAATGTTCTGTGACCTTTTGAGATGGTATAATATGCTATATGTGTGGTCTGCTCCATTGGCTGATGCATAGATGGTGGACCATTTCCCTATACTCATCTCACCCTTTCTTGCCCACTTACTGGCATTAACTTCCGCAGGGAAGCTATGTGGGAGAAGGGACTACAGTCCCCAGTGAAATTCTGTCCAGCACTGCTCCAGAGCACAAGAAGGGGGAAGCAGCTTTCATTTTCCCACCCCGAATTGCTCACCCTCATGAGTGTGATCCTGAATCTGACCCTTTGAGACAGGTTTGGAAATAATACTTGCATGGTCTGCCAGATGGCAAAGCACACACTTGTGGTACTATGGATTTGGGGTTTGTTGACTGAATATTTGACCCCATTTAACTTTGCTATAATCTTGTCAACTTTCCTACAATGCTATGCTACATTATGTGTCTATTTTAGGTGGAGAAGAGGCGCTTTAACCTACCAAAGACCCTCTCTGCTCCTCCGGTTGTAGGTACCATTTGTCATTCTTATGACAGAGAAGTACATCTCCGCTGTGACCTTGCCCCTGGTTATTACCTTATTGTCCCTAGCACCTTTCTGAAGAATGCAGAGAGCGACTTCCTGCTTCGTGTATTCTCAACAGGAAGAATCTGCCTCAGGTATGTTCAAAAAGGAAGAGAAGTAGCAAATCCCACAAAAACCCTGTTGACAGTTTATGTAAAGCCTTATGCCCTTTACGAGGGCTTGCTGTGACCTGAACTATGGTTAGGAGAGGTACATGTAAAGAAGGTGCTAAATCTTTTGAGTTCAGGTAATTAGTGTGGCTGTATAATGGGCACCTCTTCTGGCTCTTTGAATGGGGTCTCGGAGATGCTTGAAGTCCTTCCTGTAGTACAGGGGTGGGTAACCTCGAGCCCACTGCTTCATTTCGTCTGGCCTGCGGCAAGTCTCCGTGCCATGGGCCGAAAGCCCCGAGCCTTGGCGCCCCCCCGCCCCCCACTGGGCTGAAGCCATGAGCGCCGGATCGCCGGCATGTCCTTGTGGCCCCTAGGTGGAGGGGCGATCAGGACAGCTCTGCATGCTGCCCCAGCCCCCAATGCTGGCTCCGCAGCTCCCATTGGCCAGGAACTGTGGCCAATGGGCGCTGGTCGCGTGCACTGCACTGAGCCGCCTGGCCCCTCTGCCTAGGGGCCGGACATGCCAGCTGCTTCCGGGAGCAGTGCAGAGCCCGGGTAGGCAGGGAGCCAGCCTTGGCCCTGCTGCGCCACCAACCAGGAGCCTCCTGAGGTAAGCGCTCCCCCGACTGGAGCCCACACCCCAAACCCGCTCCTGCACGCCAACCTTCTGCCCCAGGTCAGGCCCTGCTCCCGCACCCTACCTCCCTCCCGGAGCCCACGCCCTAAACCCCTGCCGCAGCCCTGAGCCCGCTCCTGTACTTCAAACCCCTTTGCCCCTCCCAGAGCCCCCTCCGGCACCCCAAACCCTTCAGCCCTCCAGCCAGAGCCCTCACCCCCTCCCGCAGCCCAATCATTTCTGGCCCCATCCCAAAGCCTAGGGGAAGCCACGAGCCTCGTGCCCCCCCCCGCCCCCCACGGGGCTAGAGCCGCGACCACTTGCTTGAGCCTCTGCTCCCACCCCAGAGCTGCGTGTGGCCCCTGACTGATTTTTAATGTGGATCAGTGGTCCCTGATAGAAAAAAGATTTCCCACCCCTGCTATAGTACCTCAAGGGACCTGGGGGGGTGGCCACCTAAATCTTTTTTTGATCCAAGAGAGCCCCAGTGTCTGGAAGAAGTGCACACTGTTCAGAGGTGAACTGGTGTAGTTCTTTGCGGTGTGTACCTTGTGGAGAATATACTTCATACAAGGTATGGTGTGTTTTATACAAGAATGTTACTGCTGCACAGTTACTGCAGGCATCAGTACATTTTGGATGTTGCACAGGTCTGTGGTGTGCTCACTTCATCCAGGGTAGATGTTTCCTGGAGCTTTGTGGGCGGTGGGGAAGGCCTCAGAGAGCTACATTGTTTTCATATTTCTTTCTTTTCCTCCTTGCCCTATTTGCGGGGGCGGGGGACTCTAGGGAAATTAAATGCAAAAATGTAAATTCATGGAACATTAAGGTTAAGAAACCAAATGCATCAATGTTAGGAAATTCAAAAGATAAATTTAATCAATAAACTAATGCAGCATGTTGTATTTTCTATTGCTATGTCTTAAATACATATTTTAATGTGTTTATACTTTAAATTTACATTGTGCAATGTGGCCAGATTCAAGGTGCTGTAGAGATCTTAATTTTTACTTTGTTATTTATTTTCTCTGTTCCACAAATGTTCAGGTTTTGCATTTAATTAGACTTATATGTGGCAATGATTGGCATTGAATTAACAGTTAATGGGAATGCTTGACTGGTAAGAGTTTGCATTTCTTGACACTTATTTCATTATTGGTATTTGTCCATATTTTGACAGCTGAGCACTAAGGATGGTGAATTGCAGTCATGGAAACCTTTCACCTTTTGTACACTACTTTCCCTTTCTTTCTTACATTTGATAGTGAGATAAAACCACCACCCACTGATGCTGCCCTCTGTGAAGAGCTCCCACCAGGTGAATGGGAGACAGTGCAGCTACAGGGATGCTGGAAAAACGGCCAAAGTGCTGGAGGTAGCAGGAACTTCCACTCCTTCCATACCAATCCCTGCTTTCCCCTCTCCGTCCCTGCAGGAACAGAAGAGCGCAGCATGAAAGTCACCCTCCGCCAGCACTGTCAAGATAGCAAGTGTCGTCCAATAGGGTTTCATATCTTCCAGGTATGATTTACCCCAGTCAGTCAGATTAGTTGATTCTTGTAAATGAAACAAATCCATCACTTATTCAGGTGCCTCTTACCTTGGAGAAGGGAAATGCACCCTATAAATGATTATATTTGGGCCAATACAAGTAGACATTTGAGCTGTATTAGTTCACAGGTACAGTAGGTATAACAATGCATGAGTGGATAGCACAGCAACCAAATTTCTGGTTCCACTGAACCCTTGTCATATTCCGGTTTAGAAGTCATGCAGCAGCCAGTACTTATAGATTTTTCTGAATGTTTGAAGGGTTTTATTTAACACTAAGACTATAGCCAGGTAACTCTATGTTAAATGATACGCTTTTTTTTAAAATGCGTGGATTTTTTTTTCATTTTTACACAGATGCAAATGGTTGGGCATGCTTGGTGACTAAGACCCAAGCTTGGTAATTGGGCTTGACTCTCTCCTGCCCTTCTCCCCTAACAATTTTTTTTCCCCCCTGACAACTGATAAGTGACCGTGAGCGAACCGTGATCACTCTATGAAATAGGGCGTGTATTTGGAGGGGTGGGTTATTTGTGGACCACACTGATTTGTTTTAAAGGTGTGAGATCTGAAATTATTTTAATCTCTTCAGGTGCCTAATGACAGTTGGAAACCACAGAGTTGTTCTTTTCTGCACTTGGAGCCACTGGTTAGCTGTGTACCTCATTGCTACTCACAGGAAGTGAGCCAACTGTGCAGACTCTCTGCAGGGAATTATGTAATTGTACCTTCAACGTACTTGCCTAATACTGAAGGCAATTTCACAGTGGTCATAACAACCAAAATAGACAGGTAAAAATATATAGGTATCTGTTTGGGTTTAGACTGTTTCTAAATTCACATGTAACAGAGCATAGGACAACACTACACAATAATTTATAATAGTAATGTTTCCATATTTATTATAACATCTTTGTACCACTACCACAGGGTAACTGGGATGACTGGCCCTTTAAGGGAAGTAGGGCTGGCTCCATCTGTGCCATAATTACCAGCCCGCAATCTGAGGGGGTGATACTAATGGGATCAGATGTTAACCTGATGAACAATTGGGCCTCAGAAAAAGGAACTACAGGAAGTAGGTTAGGCCTGTGGGAGGCTCTGATCGAAGGTCTGCAGGAAGTAGGGAAGTTAGGTCTTGAGAGAGACAGGTAGAGTTCCCTGGGAGATGAGACAGTAGGAAACTATTTATGCTTTGCACTGAAGTAATTTTTTCTTTCCTTTTCAAATAGGAAATGCATTCAGAGCCAGGAGATCCTTGGACAAATATTGCAAGAAGTAGGTGGCATTTGAATTTCAGTGGCACTGAGATTGATGTACACTGGAAGTCAGAGGCAAACACATAAGCATTAGCTAATGATTTGTACCAGGGACTGGGAGACAAGAATTTGAAAGTTCTAATTCCACTCCGTGCTAACTGTTTGTTCTTAGGCACATCAGTGAACCTCTCTTTTCGTTTTTCCAGTCTGCAAAGTAGCAATTATACTATAACTCTTTGTCTTCTCTCATGCTGCCTCAGACACAGGGAATCCCCTCTCTGAAATGATCTGTAAAGCCATACTGACTCCTTCAAATCCATCCTCAATACCCACCTCTGCTGTAAAGCCTGTGAGAAGCTGGTGGACTAATAGCTGTGATGGGCTTATGGCAATAATTGACACTTATATTTGCATTTTAAAAGTTATTAATATTCATAGAATCATAGAATATCAGGGTTGGAAGGGACCTCAGGAGGTCATCTAGTCCAACCCCCTGCTCAAAGCAGGACCAATCCCCAACTAAATCATCCCAGCCAGGGCTTTGTCAAGCCTGACCTTAAAAATATCTAAGGAAGGAGATTCCACCACCTCCCTAGGTAACGCATTCCAGTGTTTCACCACCCTCCTAGTGAAAAAGTTTTTCCTAATATCCAACCTAAACCTCCCCCACTGCAACTTGAGACCATTACTCCTTGTCCTGTCATCTGATGCCACTGAGAACAGTCTAGATCCATCCTCTTTGGAACCCCCTTTCAGGTAGTTGAAAGCAGCTGTCAAATCCCCCCTCATTCTTCTCTTCTGCAGACTAATTAATCTCAGTCCCCTCAGCCTCTCCTCATAAATCGTGTGCTCCAGACCCCTAATCATTTTTGGTGGCCTTCTCTGGACTCTTTCCAATTTTTCCACATCCTTTTTGTAGTGTGGGGCCCAAAACTGGACACTCCAGATGAGGCCTCACCAATGTTGAATAGAGGGGAACGATCACGTCCCTCAGTCTGCTGGCAATGTCCCTACGTATACATCCCAAAATGCCATTGGCCTTGGCAACAAGGGCACACTGACAGGTTTCAGAGTAACAGCCGTGTTAGTCTGTATTCGCAAAAAGAAAAGGAGTACTTGTGGCACCTTAGAGACTAACCAATTTATTTGAGCCTAAGCTTTCGTGAGCTACAGCTCACTTCATCGGATGCATACTGTGGAAACTGCAGAAGACATTATATACACAGAGACCATGAAACAATACCTCCTCCCACCCCACTCTCCTGTTGGTAATAGCTTATCTAAAGTGATCACTCTCCTTACAATGTGTATGATAATCAAGGTGGGCCATTTCCAGCACAAATCTAGGTTCTCTCACCCCCCCCCTTTTTTTTCCCCAAAAACCACACACACAAACTCACTCTCCTGCTGGTAATAGCTTATCCAAAGTGACCACTCTTTCCACAGTATGCATCCGATGAAGTGAGCTGTAGCTCACGAAAGCTTATGCTCAAATAAATTGGTTAGTCTCTAAGGTGCCACAAGTACTCCTTTTCTTTAAGGGCACACTGTTGACTCATATCCAGCTTATTGTCAACTGTAACCCCTAGGTCCTTTTTTGCAGAACTGCTGCCAAGCCATTTGGTCCCTAGTCTGTAGCGGTGCATGGGGTTCTTCTGTCCTAAATGCAGGACTCTGCACTTGTCCTTGTTGAACCTCATCAGATTTCTTTTAGCCCAATCCTCTAATTTGTCTAGGTCCCTCTGTATCCTATCCCTACCCTCCAGCGTATCTACCTCTCCTCCCAGTTTAGTGTCATCTGCAAACTTGCTGAGGGTACAATCCACATCATCCTCCAAATCATTTATGAAGATATTGAACAAAACCGGCCCGAGGACCGACCCTTGGGGCACTCCACTTGATACCGGCTGCCAACTAGACACGGAGCCATTGATCACTACCCGTTGAGCCCGACAATCTAGCCAACTTTGTGTCCACCTTATAGTCCATTCATCCAGCCCATACTTCTTTAACTTGCTGACAAGAATACTGTGGGAGACCGTGTCAAAAGCTTTGCTAAAGACAAGGAACAACACAATCACCGCTTTCCCCTCATCCACAGAGCCAGTTATCTCATCATAGAAGGCAATTAGATTAGTGAAGCATGACTTGCCCTTGGTGAATCCATGCTGACTGTTCCTGATCACTTTCCTCTCATGTAAGTGCTTCAGAATTGATTCCTTGAGGACCTGCTCCATGATTTTTCCAGGGACTGAGGTGAGGCTGACTGGCCTGTAGTTCCCAGGATCCTCCTCCTTCCCTTTTTAAAAGATGGGCACTACATTAGCCTTTTTCCAGTCGTCTGGGACTTCCCCGGATCGCCATGAGTTTTCAAAGATAATGGCCAATGGCTCTGCAATCACATCCGCCAACTCCTTTAGCACTCTCGGATGCAACGCATCTGGCCCCATGGACTTGTGCTCGTCCAGCTTTTCTAAATAGTCCCGAATCACTTCTTTCTCCACAGAGGGCTGGTCACCTCCTCCGCATGCTGTGCTGCCCAGTGCAGCAGTCTGGGAGCTGACCTTGTTCGTGAAGACAGAGGCAAAAAAAGCATTGAGTACATTAGCTTTTTCCACATCCTCTGTCACTAGGTTGCCTCCCTCATTCAGTAAGGGGTCCACACTTTCCTTGACTTTCTTCTTGTTGCTAACATACCTGAAGAAACCCTTCTTGTTACTCTTAACATCTCTTGCTAGCTGCAACTCCAGGTGTGATCTGGCCTTCCTGATTTCGCTCCTGCATCCACGAGCAATATTTTTATACTCTTCCCTGGTCATTTGTCCAATCTTCCACTTCTTGTAAGCTTCTTTTTTGTGTTCAAGATCAGCAAGGATTTCACTGTTAAGCCAAGCTGGTCGCCTACTATATTTACTATTCTTTCTACACATCGGGATGGTTTGTCCCTGTAACCTCAATAAAGATTCTTTAAAATACAGCCAGCTCTCCTGGACTCCTTTCCCCCTCATGTTATTCTCCCAGGGGATCCTGCCCATCAGTTCCCTGAGGGAGTCAAAGTCTGCTTTTCTGAAGTCCAGGGTCTGTATTCTGCTGCTCTCCTTTCTTCTCTGTGTCAGGATCCTGAACTCAACCATCTCATGGTCACTGCCTCCCAGGTTCCCATCCACTTTAGCTTCCCCTACTAATTCTTCCCGGTTTGTGAGCAGCAGGTCAAGAAGAGCTCTGCCCTTAGTTGGTTCCTCCAGCACTTGCAACCAGGAAATTGTCCCCTACCCTTTCCATTGTCCATTGGATTGTCTGTGCACCCCTGTATTGCTCTCTTTCCATTTTCCATTGGATTATCTGTGCACCCCTGTATTGCTCTCCCAGCAGATATCAGGGTGATTGAAGTCTCCCATGAGAACCAAGGCAATGCGATCTAGTAACTTCCGTGAGTTGCCGGAAGAAAGCCTCATCCACTTCATCCCCCTGGTCGGGTGGTCTATAGTAGACTCCCAACATGACATCACCCTTGTTGCTCACACTTCTAAACTTAATCCAGAGACGCTCAGGTTTTTCTGCAGTTTCATACTTGAGCTCTGAGCAGTCATACTGCTCCCTTACATACAGTGCAACTCCCCCACCTTTTCTGCCCTGCCTGTCCTTCCTGAACTGTTTATATCCATCCATGACAGTACTCCAGTCATGTGAGTTATCCCACCAAGTCTCGGTTATTCCAATCACATCATAATTCCTTGACTGTGCCAGGACTTCCAGTTCTCCCTGCTTGTTTCCCAGGCTTCTTGCATTTGTGTATAGGCACTTGAGATAACTTGCTGATCATCCCTCTTTCTTAGTATGAGGCAGGAGCGCTGCCCTCTCACGCGCTCCTGCTTCCTCCCGGTATCCCACTTCCCCACTTACCTGAGAGCTTTGGTCTCCTTCCCCGGTGAACCTAGTTTAAAGCCTCCTCACTAGGTTAGCCAGCCTGCTTGTGAAGATGCTCTTCCCTCTCTTCGTTAGGTGGAGCCCGTCTCTGCCTAGCACTCCTCCTTCTTGGAACACCATCCCATGGTCAAAGAATCCAAAGCCTTCTCTCCGACACTCTCCGACACCACCTGCATAGCCATTCGTTGACTTCCACGATTCGACGATCTCTACCCAGGCCTTTTCCTTCCACGGGGAGGATGGACGAGAAGACCACTTGCGCCTCAAACTCTTTTATCCTTCTTCCCAGAGCCAGGTAGTCCGCAGTGATCTGCTCAAGGTCATTCTTGGCAGTATCATTGGTGCCCATGTGGAGAAGCAGGAAGGGGTAGCGATCCGAGGGCTTGATGAGTCTCGGCAGTCTCTCCGTCACATCGTGAATCCTAGCTATATTAATAGTGTGTATGTATATATGTGTGTGTGTGTGTGTATATATATATAATATTTTTAACTGTACTCTCCTTTTGTGTCTCCATCACTCTTATTTTATTTATATATTCAGTCCTTTTCCTCACCCAATGGGCTCTGATCTGTATTGGGGTCTTTAGGCACTACTGCAATATTTAGAAATTAATACTAATCATATGGGAAAAAAAGAGTGGGGAAAACCTGGAGATGATTGCCCTGTATGCCTTAGTAGGTCTACGTTTGTGTTTGCTTGTACACACAATATGCTATTATGATAATTCACATTGGGCTGTGAGCTGTTTTGGTCAAGTTAATGCAACATGTTTAACATTTCACTGATTATTTTTTTTCTCCACTACACATGCGCACAATGTGGTTGCAGGATTGGGCATGAGTTCTGAGTTCCTGACACTTAAGATATTTTTATTTTAGGGGGGAAAAGATCCAAAAATATTATTTTTTGCGACTGTGTTAAAATAAAATCTTACTTGCATTTTAAATCAGAGGGTGTTCTTCATAACACTGTTTACTTATTAGGCAAGACAAATACCAACCTGATAAAATCTCCCAGAGGTAAAAAGGCCAATTACACACAGAATAAACAAGCAAATAAAAAAACAACCACATCACCACACCAGGTATCAGTTGGCTTACTAATTTTCCTGCTCTAGGTTATGTTGACCAGTGATTATACTTTGTCCTCAAAACCACACAACAAACTAAGTCTGGACTTTTATTTCACAGAAATTGGAGATAGAAACATATATGTACATTTCTAATGGTGGCCTTGCTTTAGAATCTAGGAGCTGTAACACCTAATTAATAATAGCATTATTTCCATTCCTTGTTCATTATTCATTTCTTTCTTAGATGTGGTTCTTGCCTGTCTCTAGGGCAAATGTTGATAGGCCCCTCCCTCAGTAACAACAGCCTATCTAGTGAGATTATTTTTACATTGTTCCCTAAGGGTAGTCAGACTTGGGCCTACCCTGCTGTCCAGTGGTAGGGTAAAGTGCCAGTGGCACACCCCTGAGAATACCCTGCTTCAAACCTCCTGAGAATTTCAGTTTGGAGATGACAGCCACAATCTCCTCATTGATTGCAGCTAAGATACAGAAAGAGAGAATCTCTGAGTTTTTAAGAAATCCTAGCTAGGTGAAGGTTATAAAGACTATAACCTAGAAGCAGTTCAGGTTTTTGAAGGGGAACCGGTGGAGAGCATGGACCACTTTGGTGATGTGGTTTTGTTAGTCTGCCTTACATAGAAGTGGGCTGCTGTGTATTAAAACAACTAAAGCTTCTATGTGCCCTTCCTGGTCTATGCCAGGTGCAGTACACTGCAGTAGTTTAGCCTGAAGGAGATGGAAACATGGCTGACTGCGCTGGGTCTATATCTCAAAGAAAAAGGTGCAGTCCCTCTGTTAATCAAATATTAAAGCACTTTTGATTACAGCTGCTGTTTGGTTGAGTAGGAGTGGTGACGAGTCCACTTAGAACCATGAGACTATGCAGTGCTTTCCCCTTTCCTCCCAGGCCCACTACTTGCTTTTCATTCAGGTAGTTGTGTGTCTCGGGCACTGGGACAAGTGGATAATGGCACTGAGAGAGAGATGTAGAGCGGGTGCGAGTGGTATACTGTATTGTATATTTCTAGGGTTTTGTCCAGTCTAGTTCCAAATTACTGAAGTTATGGGATTTGCATCACTTCCTTGAGACTATTTAAGTGTATCAATTAACAGGAAGAGAATGTGTAACAATACATGGCCTTAATTCCTGAATTTTCCTTTTCTCTGTCTAGCTAAGGCATATCTGCCAATCTTTTTCACCCTGAGACTGTTAACATGTTACAAAACTACAGGTTTTAACCTATGAAATAGCTTCAATTCAGCCTCTTTTTTGCAGGTCTCCTTTACAGCTGTGATGAAAAGGTAATTTGGAATTCTCGCGTCAACATCATAACAGTAGAGAGACTGGAAAAGCCTGACCTGTGGCTATTTTCAATTTGAAATGAATTAACCAGAAAATACCCTGGTCCCAGTGGTTTTCCATTCAGACTGACTTCCAGCCTGGTGACGTCCTCTCTGAAAAGATACCTCCTTGATCATACGCATCCTGATGAGCATTCTTCCCCTCCATATGTTTTATTACCAGCAACATACAAATGAACTTCATGCTATACCTCAGTTCTTCAAAAATATGGACAAAGGATATGTGCACGTGTTTTAACTCAAGCTGTAGTTTTAAAATTAAAACAGGAAAAAAAATGTGACCTATGTGTACATAATGAAAGAACGTTTGGTGAAGAGTACCCAAGTTTACAGAACAACCTCAGGAGACCAGCAGAGGAAAGGAGGAGTGTAGGGGAAAGAAACTGGAGTCCCTTTTCCAGGAAGGAAAGACTAGGATCCAACAAAGTACACTGGAACAGGTATAGACCAGATCTAGATCTACCACTGCCAGTCTTATTACTGAGCACTTTATCATGGGCCCTGCTACTATGAATATTTGTCATGAAACTGTAACTTTGGAAAAGATAAGTGTAGGCGAGTTTGTCTTGCACCATGTGAACACCTGGAAGGGAAGGAAGAAATAACTTATGCAAAGCTGTTGGTTTGAAACTCCATATAAGACAGTATTTTTGTTACTAGTAACCAGAATGTTGTTTTCTTAATTCCTGTTAAAATATTTCTTACTCAAGTGTGGGTTTTTTAGATATTGTATTTTCTTTAATAAATGTAAGGTGATGTTAAAGAGTTTAAAAGGTCTTCTGTTAATATCATTGATAGTTTCAATCTCTTTGTGTTTCTTTAAGCTTTATTTGTTGTGTTGTGGCAAGCTTTGCAATTTTTTGCAGTCCCCAGGTTTCCGTTAAGTGGGAGTTGAAAAGCAGACCTAGAGGGCCCAGTTCTCCTTTGACATTGACTTTACAGCAGCTTCACATGCACAATGATACTTTCAGCATCAAAACTCACTCCAGAATCTTTTACGGTTTTCCGTACTGAACTTCAGAAACTGAAGAAAACTAGGCTGCACGCAGCTGATTTGGAAACGGAACCTTTTCAGAAGTGGAATCAACAGAGCGCGATACGTTTGGTTGAGATTAGTGGGATGGTGATGCAATAAATGGTAGTACCAAGTGCACCAAACCCTTAATTTTCATAGAATAGTGTTATATCTAGGGGTGATCCTGAGAAGTGGTGGTAATTTGATCTAATTTCTTCAGTTCTCCGCTGCTCAGTGCCCTCACTTTAAGTAACCAGTAGTAGAATGTTGTTCCACGAACTTCTCAAAAGAGGATGGAGTTGTAAGGGGAAACGAGGGATTCTTAAGAAAAAAAAAAGAGTTGGTTCCTGGAGATGCCGTGATTGATATAACAAAACAGATGCATAAGCAACTTGTCAAGAGACAGTAGCTTTAATGAGGAAACCAGGAGAAGAAGGCGAACAAAAAGAATCTGTAACACTATAGTGACATGTCACATTGCCAAATCCAAAGGGACATTCAAAAGAATGGTGGTTGTGAGAGGAAATGAGGCCCTAAAACTGCAGACATGTGCATGCTTAACTTTACTACTGTGAATAGTCCTCCCAGAGAGAGTAAAGGAAGGGGGACCCAAAGTACATTGATAGCCTTTGGATAAAAACATGTGAAGTGAACTTTGAAGGAGAGAAGAGAGGTTTTGTGAACACAGAACAGTGAATGGTACACACTGAAGTTCAGTTAAAATAATGCATCTTTATTATATCTGGACAATTGTGCAGCCGTGGTGGGACTACAGCTAGTTCATCAGTATCTCTACTGTGTAGAAATAGTTTAGATAATTCTTTCCACTAGGTGTTACCTTGCACTTTTGTACACTGAAGATCGCTTGATCTTTGGCAAATGCATTTATTTTTTAAAAGTTAAAATTTAATAAGTCTGTGTTCCTAAATAAAACTATCTCCATCCACTGTCACAATACTGAATTATCAAATAAGACTAATAAGATAAAGTACAAGATGAATATTAAAATCCCTGACAGAATCACCTCCATTTATGGTTCATTTCAGACTAGCGTGGAACCACATGGAGCTTATATGGATGTGGCTGCAATATAGCCCCTAAAATATAGTTTAGATTGACTTCCTTCACTCCCTCTGGAAGCTGGAATGTGAACACCCGCAGCAGGTTGACAAAGAAGATGAAGAGCTCAGTTCTTGCCATCTGTTCCCCCAAACACACCCGATGCCCTACGGAAGGAACACGAGAAGGGCATTACTCCTACAAATGATTGCACAGAGTGAGTCAGAGAAAAGTGAATTTCTAAACAAAATTCTGCTGAGTCTCTTGGACGCTAAGGTGAGAAGTTGCCTCAGAGGGACATAATCTGTATAATTTTCTTTACCTGAGATGCTAGATATATATCTGGCTTTGGGTATGTCTATGCTTCGAGCCGGGGATGTAATTCACAGGCAGGTCATGGAGACATGCCCATGCTAGATCACTAGAAATAAAGCATGGCTGCCACGGTGGAACCAGCGGGAAGGGCTAGCTGCCCCATGTATGTAGCTAGCATCTCACATGCTTACATACTTGGAGCAAGCAGATTTAGATGCCAGTGAAATACCTGCTGAGAAAGGTATGAATGCTTCATTGTTTACAAAGTTGCCATCTGAATCGAGAAAGTGACTCGGGTTGAACTTCCATGGGGTCTCCCAGTGTTCAGAATCGTATACAGCAGAGTGTAAGTTTGGCAATACAATTGTGCCCTGAAAAAGAAGCAAAACTTAATTGTCTTCTATTTGTGAATTAGTCTTTGTTAGCTAAGCATTAAAAACAGGAGCAGGTTCTCAGCTTGTGTAAATCAGTGTGGCTTCATTGACATCAACAAGTCTATGCCCTTTTACAGCAGCTGTGTGGCTCAGACTGTCTAGCCTCATTTCTCTGCTTATCAGCGTGGTTCACCAGGGTCACATCTGATAGTACTGTACTCAAATGTTCTGTTACAAATTGTCCTCTTTTTCCTTTTATCACATTCTCTCCTTCTCCTCTATTACTGACACAGAGGTTTCTCATCTGCCCTCCTTTAATCCATCTGTCCCAGCAACCCGATCCTACTCTACCTCCCTTCACCCCATTCACCCTCTTCCTTGCTCTCTCTTAACCACTCACTCCTCTCAATAAATGCATGCTTTTCTCTTCCCTATCATGAAAAAAATCTAACCTTTACCCCACTTACTTCCCTGTCCCTTTCCCCTCCACCTCCACACATAGAATATGTCTTCTCTAACTACTGCTTTGAGTTCCTCTCCATCCAGTTCTACATCTGAGATAGCTTTTCTAACATTTCTTCATGGATGTCCAGCTGGAACCTTCAATTCAACATGGTCAAAACTGAGTTTTGGCCTTCTTCTTTCTCCATTTACTCCATCACTGTGGATAACACCACCACCCTCCCAGTTGTTGAAAGACCATAATTTGGATGTTCTCATCAACTTGGCCTTCTCTCCAAACTCACAAATCTAGACTGCAGCCAAATCTTGCTGCTGCCACCAATATAATATTTCAAAGATTTGGCCTTGTCTGTGTCCAGACTGTCATCTAATCTCATCATTTTATGCCGTGAGCCTTATAATCTGTTCTTCTCTGGCCTTGATGCCAGCTACATTGTCCCTCTCAGGTGTATTCAAAATTCTGCTACTAGGATTGCATTCATGGCTTGTCACTCTAACCACATTAACCGTCTCTTTCCATTTCTTTGCTGGGTCCGTCTATCACACCACATCAGACACTAGCTCCTTGTCTTTGCATTTCTGGCCCTTCACCAGTGAGCCCCATGCTATCGGTAAGATCTACTGGCACATTGAATTAGTTGGCTCCTGCCTTTGCTTGGTGTTGACGGCAGCCCTAATCATCATCTCCCTCAAACGCCTCCAGGCTTTCTCCCATGATCCTCTCATATGTGTGGGGAAAATGCCCAATCAAATTGATAAAGCACACCACCATCTCTCTTCCCCCACCCTTAAAACCTTCTTGATGCCATGATGCCTACAGGCCTAGACTACTTCTGCAAAGCTGTGGTCATTTTTCAACTCCCAACCTACTTCCACCCTATTTGCCTGTTCTGTCCTGTCTCATGTATAGACGGAAAGTATTTGGGGGCAGGGACTGTCGTCTTGGCTATTTTTTCTGAAGTTCTTACCACAGTGGGGCCCTGATCCTTGATTAGGATAGCGAGTCATGAGTGTAACATGAATACTTAGGCCTGGTCTACGCTACACAGTTAGGTGGATGGAAGGCACTTTACATTGACCTAATTATGTCAGTGTACACACCACAGCTTTGTCCCACTGATGTAAGTGCCCTGCTCTACCGACATAATAACTCCACCTCCACGAGAGGCATAGGACTTACGTTGGTGTAGTTATGACAACACAGTGTCTGTGTAGCCACAGCAGCTGTTGGCTGTCTTGTCAATTTTACAGCTCCATGCTGGAGCAGTGAAATTGACAAGAAAGCTGGGTAGCTGGAGCCTGGCTGGGCTGTTGCAAGGCGGCTTTCCGCTCAGGGAGCCGAGAAGCCGGGGCAGCTGCCCCCTGCACCCAGCTGTGAGCAGGGAGGCACGAACCCTGGGTGGCTGGCCTCCACTCGCAGGTGGGAGTGGGGAACCAAGAGCCTGGGAGCGGGGGGGAGCAGCTGGGCTCCCAGTGGGGAGCTGCAGGGAGCTGAGAGCCCTGGCTCTTAGCCTCCCTACACTGCCCCTCTTCAGTCAATGGAAGTGCTTCTAGTGAGGATGCATGCCACCAACAGAAGGAGGGTAGTGTGGACATCAGCCACAGCAGTAATTACAACTGTAAATCTGTAGTGTAGACTGTAGGCCAGGGGTGAGCAAACTTTTTGGCCCTAGGGCCACATCGGGTACAAAAATTGTATAGAGGGCCAGGTAGGGAAGGCTGGGGGAGGCTATGCATGGCCTGGCCACTGCCCCCTGGGACTCCTGCATCTTATCCAAACACCCCTGCTCTCTGCCCCCTGATCATCCCCCCAGGACGCCCGTCCCCTGTCCAATCCTCCCTGCTCCCCACCCCGTGACTGACCCCCTGAAGCCCCCCTGCCCCCTATCCAACCCTCCCTGCTCTCCTGCCCCACCTTATCTGTAGGGTGGGGGAAAGGGGGGCTCAGTCCTTTCCCTGTGCGTTTCCCCTGCTTGTTTGGCTGCTCTCTTTGGCAGTCGGGCAGGGCTCGCTCCCTGTCTGGGCTTGGCTGTTGGGGACAGGGGCCAAGCATGCTGGAGGTGGAGGGGGGCCCTGGCTTGCTCTGCCACTGTCCCTGGCAGCAGGGCCCAGACCCCTTGACCGCCCTCCTGCAACTCCCCCTGCTCCTCGCCCCCCCCCCCCCCCCCGTAACTCCCCCTGGCCACGCTATAGCCGTGCCGCCCGGCTGGAGCTGCAGCCATGCTGCCCAGGAGCTGGGGGAACTGTGACTGTGAGGGAGGGAAGAAGGGAGGGACCAGGGGCTAGCCTCTGGCCCGCTCACCATGCTGCGGGGGAATTGGGCTGGCTCCTCTGCAAGCCTGTCCTGACCCCGTTCCCTGGCAGGAGCTCAGGGGCCAGAGGGAAGGGTCCTGAGGGCTGGATATGGCCTGCGGGCCGTAGTTTGCCCCCCTCTGCTGTAGGCTGTAACAGTGTCTGTAAGTCGACGTAACGTAAGTTGATGTATGTCTCTAGTGTAGACGTGCCTTTAGTAATAATGATGCAAAAGAAGCAGGGGTC